GAAATTAATGAAAACGAAGATTTTGGCGATTTATCAGATTTGGATGACGGCAATAATGATGATGATAATGGAAAAGGTGACATCCAGTTGTGATGGAAGTGACTCCGAAGTTATAGATGACAATGAAAACAATAATGATGATAATAATGACATGTTGTTTTTGATGATGTTGATGATTAAAACATTTTTTCTCTAAAGATACAATTTTCTATTGTTCTGCCTTATCATATTTAGTTGTATTGAAAGCACCTTTAATTTTAATTAAGCGGTTGTCAGACGGGAGAAAATTGTTTGGAAGCATAAACATTTTTCGCAATTTAACAATAATTGTACAACGTATGTAGCTCATTACGGTTTCTGCCATATTGAGAATATGCATATTATCATAACTACATTTCACTGAAACAAATGGCAGACGGGTTAAAAACGTTCATGATACGTCCAATTTTTGTTCCAATTTTGTTTATCAATTATAAGAACTTGTACTCTTAATCTTCTGAATAGCGATTTTTGTAACAATTCAAATTTTTATCTAAATAAAAGGGGTCTGTTTAAGTTGGCAAATGATATAAAAAATGTCATTGAGAATTTTGGCTAAAATAATTTAACAAACTTAAAATATGTCTCAACAACTGAATCTAATTATTCTTTTTTAGGGATGAACACAGATCTTTAACTCTAAGACCTATAAATTGTGCTAATGATGAGGGTGTGTTATCTATTTCAGCTTCTAATCGACAATGCGGTGTTTTATATTTAAATTCAGGTGGTACTACTACTAATTTTGACCAGATACATAGCTTAGTAATACAGCACAGGCCGAACATTGTCTGTATTTCTGAAACTCACCTAACCGATGATATATGTGAGTCAGAAGTAAGTATTGATGGGTATGACTGTCTCAGAGTGAATAGCGTGAGTATAGGCATACTGGGGGTATACAAGTTTATGTGAAGGAGTGTCTTAAGATTATTAAAGTCGAAAGAGTATCTTTTGAGAAAAACTATTGGATGTTGAGTATTGAGATTGAGGTCTGTGGTAAAAGTCTTTTAATTGTGTGTTTGTATCATTCCCCAAATGTTAGTGATAAGGTGTTTCTGAACTTATTTGAAAATTGGTGTGGAGATGTAATCTGTGATAACAATAAACTAACTGTGATATTGGGTGACTTTAACATTAATATGCTTCGTTCCGATACTTACCCTACAAGATTAAAAAGAATTATTGATGATAATAGCTTATGTCAGTTAATAAATGAAGTAACAAGATCATCCACTGATGGAGGAACACTTATAGATTTAGTAATAACGAACCAATCGCATAATGTGATGTCAAAGGTATGTCACATACCTAGAATAGGGGACCATTACGTTATTGCCTTAGAAATATCAGTCTTCAAGAACTGCAAAACTCCACCGGTTTTCATACAAACTAGAGGCAAAAATATTGATTATGAACTGGTAAGATATTACTTGTCGAATCTTAGCTGGGAAATTATGTATGGGATAATGGATGTAGACTTTAAGTGTGGGTTGTTTATCAATACTGTTACTAAAACACTAGACACAGTTGCCCCTTTGAAGACAATTAAAATTCAATCCCGTTATAAACCGTGGTGGAACGTAAGGGTGAAGAATGCTGTGAGGATAAGAGATGAAAGTTACAAGCATTTTAAAAATCAGAAAACTGAAGAAAGTCATAGGGTCTATAAACAAAGTAGAAATGCGGTAGTGAGAATTATAAGAGAAGAAAAAAGGCTATTTTTTGAGAACAAGGTTGATCAATGTAAGAATGATCCTAAAAGTATGTGGGCAACATTGAGACAGGTTTTGCCTGAAAATAAGAAATCAGGAAAAATACGTAAAATAGAATTTAATGGTGAAATAGAAGAGGATGAATTAATATTACCTTCCAGATTAAACCGGTTTTATGTTCAAAGCGTTCATGATATTGTTTCAGGAATTGATAGTAATAATACCGATTCTGATACAGTCAATTTAGAAAATGAATGTGTAGATACAAGCAGGAAAGCAACATCTTTTTTGCGATTTTAAACTGATAAGCTTGGAAGATCTAAGCAGTATCGTATTTTCTTTAAAAAATAAAAGCAGTCCTGACGATGTTGATGTTGGCTTCTTCAAACACGTGCATCCTGTAATCGAACTTCCACTCATAAATCTGATAAATTCTTCATTGGAGCAGGGTGTTTTCCCGGATTTATTAAAGCTTTCTACAGTTGTCCCTGTAGAGAAGAAACCAAACTCAATTGAAGCACAGAATTATCGCCCAATCAATACTCTTCCGGTCCTTGAAAAAATCTTTGAGAGAGTTGTGTATAGTCAATTTGTTGAGTATCTGGAAAACTGTAATTTAATTACTGAACATCAATCCGGCTTCCGAAAAGGGCACAGTTGTGAGACGGCAATCCACAGTTTGTTCTGGATGAATGGAAAAATAGTTTCGACAGCAATAAAAGTACAATCGCAGTGTTTCTAGATCTCCAACGAGCTTTTGAGACAATAGATAGAGGCAAACTACTTGAAAAACTTGAAAAGATGGGAGTATCTGGAAGAGTAATGAGGTGGTTTCGTAGTTACTTAACAGACAGAAGACAACTTGTGAAATTGAATGGAAAAATGTCTGAGCAAATTTCCAATGAGTTGGGAGTTCCGCAGGGGAGTGTGTTGGGCCCTATTTTGTTTGTGCTTTATGTGAATGATATGGTGAATGTGGTTAATGATGAGGATAATTTGGGGTTACATCTTTTCGCTGATGATACCTTGCTTTATGGATCTTCTGAAAACATTGAACATTTAGTTATTAAAATAAATACTGTTTTAGGGAAAATTGATCAGTATTGCAAGAGAAATCTTCTTAAGGTTAACAAGAGTAAAACAAACTATATTGTAATCGCAAAGGAAAGCATAAAGCAGTTATTTCTGGTTAACCAACATAATATCGTAATGGGTGACGAGGCTTTAGCTAGTGTCAGATAAATTAAATATCTAGGTGTAGTTATAGACGACAAAATGTCATTTAAGGAGCACTGCAACTTAACTATCTCAAAAATAAGCTATGGAATTAGTCACCTTAGCAGATGTTCGCATAGTTTATCAAGATGGTCAAGATTAGTAGTTTTTAATGCATTGGTGTTACCACACTTTACATACTGTGCAACAATTTTGTATTTGTTACAGCAAAATGAAATAAACCGCTTACAGAAAATGCAAAACCGCGCTATGAGAATAATACTATCATGTGATAAGTACACCTCCATTAAGACCATGCTTAGACAACTGCAATGGCTCCCTGTGCAGGAATTTTTTCGGTACAACGTCTTAATTTTCATTTTCAAAATAAAAGTAGGTAATGCACCCTCCTATTTGAAAAACAAATTAACAGTTAACAACCAAGTCCACGGTCATAATACAAGGCAGCAGCAGAACTTCTATATACAACGTAGAAATAAAAAGCTTGCTGGAAATTCTGTTTTTTTTAAAGGTCTGGATGATTTTAATAAGTTACCTAATAATATTAAAAATAGTTTATCCCTGAATGGTTTCAAGAAAAATTTAAAATTGTTTTTTCTTAGGGAAAATGATCTTGTTTCCTAAGTCAACATAGTCTTTGTGTATTTAGTGAGACATCTTGATCAGGTTTTTGTCCATTTTGTCCATTCTGACTCTTGTCTTTATCCATTTTAATAATTGTACAATTGTATTTTGCAAGGATGTTTTTAATTGTTTTGTTATGATTTCCGTTTATATTGATTGATTGATTGTTTCTGAGTAATGTGATTTGCTTTGTAAAATGCTAAAACTGTGAAATTTGATTAAAAATTTATATGCTAAGTAATTGTGACATACTGGATCCTGTGATAACTTTTAAATTACTGTATTGTTTGTGATAAGTTTTGCTCTGTTGGTTTATTTATTTTATGAATTATTTTACATTTTATTTCTTAGTTACTTTTCAAGTTGTATATTTATATTCTGTACTATTGTAAACTAGCAATTTTTATGCTAAATAAAGGATTTAATAATAATCAGCCTGCAATTTCTGCCAGTCGAAATTTAAGCTTTTAGTAGTAGCTAATTTAATATAAATTATTGGCAGACGGGAAAAAATTGATCTCAACTTTGAAAAATTTTGATATTTTTATTTTTTCTGCCAATTGTTAATATACCTTTGATACATCTGCCAATACATTTCTTGGATTTTACTTTGCATGTCAAACTTATCTTCCAAATGACAGATGGGAGAAAATTGTTTCAACATCTCAGCATTTTGAAACAACTTCAAAAATTGTTAAATATTATTATAAAAACCAAGATTTTCTGCCATTTCCTTATTGATCTGATACATCGTAAATGCAACATAAATTTAATTTGGCAGACGGGAGGTCGTTGATCCACATGTTCGATTTTGGCGAAATTTTAAAATTAGTAATATGACATTTTCTACTCACCTAGGGTTTCCGCCGTTTAGCTTCCTTCTACTCATTTTTGCTTAAATTACCTTCACAATGTGTGGCAGATGGGATAATATTGATCCAAATCTCCATTTTTCATTACATTTTCAAATTAACATATCATTGTATTGTCACACGCGGGGCTCTATTAAATTTCAGCCATTCCACTTCTTATTCCATAAAGACTAACCACCCTTAATGGCAGACGGGAGAAAATCGTTTTAAAAAAATAGTCGTTATACACCAGTCTATAAGTAAGTACATAAGTAACAGTTGATCTATCTGTCCCTGGAGATAGTAGTAGCATTTTGATATATTATTTGTTTTCAAATTTGGCCTTAGTTTGGACTTTGGACTTTCAAATCAAAAATAAAACATTAAATGTTAACAAAATTGACAAAATTTAATATAATAGAAATGCAAAATTCCTACTTACTATCGGATTGCTATCGGTGGTGTTTTAATAATAATTATTATTGTCAGTTTTCTTAACAGGATGTGTCTTATACTATTTTGATTTGACATTTAGTTTTACCCGTACCTGATACGTCCGCAGATCTCAGCATTGCTCGTGTCGGATGCCGCATCATGGAAGAACTGGTCAAACCGATGACCGAAGTGCAGATCGACGATACTGAATTTGCTTGTCTAAAGGCCATCGTCTTTTTTGACCCAAGTAAGTTCTAAGATTTATTTCCGAAATATCTATTTAATTAAATACTTATTTTTAGATGCTAAAGGCCTGCTCAATTCAGACCGCATCAAGCAACTGCGCTTCCAAATCCAAATCAACTTGGAGGATTATATCAGCGACAGACAATACGACAGCAGGGGGCGATTTGGAGAGCTATTGCTCACTTTACCGGCGTTACAATCGATTACATGGCAAATGATTGAACAAATTCAGTTTGCTAAATTGTTCGGAGTCACACCTATTGACAGTTTGTTGCAAGAAATGCTCTTAGGAGGTAGGAACTCCTCTTATCTTATTTATTGAACTTTAATATATTAAGTACTCTAAACGTTCTTCGTCTTTTCACATAAAAAAATTGGTATTTTGTCCAGTACGTCATCAAAAAATGTGTGAGAAAATGTCGAAGTGTCTGTCTATATACGTTGGTCTCACTATGGAGTCGCGACAGTCGCGTTTCACTAATTATCTGATCAACTGATTCCTAATAAGCCCCAGGTGTTTCATTTATCACTGACTTTTCCTTTCGTGGATAAAAATAAGAATACAATTATAAATTGAATAGGTACTTTCAACTGACTGACTGTAAATCTAAGCTGAAAAGCTTTTATGACAATATAAAGTTAAAGTTAGAAAAAGTAATTACTCGGTATCTTCTGACCATTTAACTTCTCCCTCCTCAGATTCAACTATCGGCCTAGCCGGAGTAGTTGAATGTCCGTGTTCTCTTCTTTTCTAGGGGTTGGTACTTTCTTCTTGAATTTTGAAACAATCTTCTTGTATGCCAAAATTATACAGCCAAGAATTAATAGGATGTAAATTACTAAGGACCATATACTGGGATTTGTTTTAAGTTGGCCAAATAATAAATCCGGTTGAATTTCTAAAATCTCGTTTTGAAGTTTGTGTAGCTCATCCAGCTTCAAGTCGTGTAAATGGGTACCTACTTAAATTCAAAGTAGGCAACAGAGTTGGCGTTTCTTGAATATCGGGAAGCAGTATAGGTTGACTGCTACTTCTGACTGATTTTTTAATGTTGGAGATCAGTTTCGATTTTATTTTGACTTGGCAACCTTTGGGAATATTATATAATTTATAAAATTAAAATCTATATATTGCATAGAGTTGATTTGGATGGTTTCTTTGGATAGAGGGATCATCCATCCATTAATTTGTGTTAGCTAATTGGTTCATAAGTGGCTGTGTAATTTTTACCTCTCTTTGTTTGGATATTGAAGTGTTTTTATCAAAGTTCAGTAACCTGATGGCACAGGGCATGTCTTCTTGGAGATTTTTTTTTCCACATACATAGTAATGAGGGATGACTCTTTGACATTCTTTTTGTTGGTAGGCGTAATGCAATTGATTTTTTAGTAGAAATTTACTCCGCGGTAAAACCACCTTAAATCGACTCTTATTAACATTATAGGTATATGCAGAAGGTACGTTATTTTGTTGTTGGAAATAAAACAGTCAAGAGAAATAATTTTTTCATATAATAGAGGATGCTCTCTAAATTCACTGGTATAGGCATTTGTTCAATACCAAATTGAATTTGTAGTTTAGTTAATTCGTTAAATAAGACTTCAGATTTTGGGTGCATTGTTTTAAGTTTAGAAAATGCAATCGAATTTTCGATGTCTTGCAATACCGAATCAATAATTGCATAAAAGTTGATCATTTATTTGATAACATCTTTTATGTATAGAGAATTTTCTCTGTAAGCATTTTTTTGTATAATAAAGGCTATTTGATTTATTTTAGAATCTAACAGTTTCTCATTATGGCCAATTTCGTTAATTGTATGATTAAATCTATTGATAACCGATAAAGATAGGGACTTTTCTTTCAAAATATTTGTTTGGAGAATTTTTTGATTGTTTTGCAGTTCTCTAACTAGATACTCGTATTGTTCACCGTCAGAGGCGTCGAGATTTCCTTTTAAAGCCTTAAAGAAATCTGTTTATCAACCCTCGTTTAATCCTCTTGAACTTAGTAGGAGTAATTTCTTGTATTTTATTTTCAACCCTGAATCTTGTAATATTTAATATTTTCAAATAATTACTAGTATCCAGAGAATATTCTTGGCGAGAGTTTATTAATTTGTATATATTTTCTGATTTTGTCCTCAATTTGCTGACTTCAGAAAGTATCGGCGTTTAAGGTTGTCCATGTGTATTTTGTTTTGTGAGGTGGTCGCTACGGTTTCTCTTGTAGGGTCAACACTCTCAATTTGTATAGCCTTATTGAAGGTATCGCCTAATTTTTGCTTACCATGTTTCTTGACAAAAACTTTTTGTCGTTCGATAAATAGGGCCGGACTGTCGCGACTTTCGTTTATTTTTCCTATCACTTCTTTCTTATTGATTAGTTTTTCATTGATTTTCGAGTACATAAGTTTCAACTCAAACTCAACTCAAATTATTTATTTCAAATATTACATATATCATATTAGTACATAAGTTTAGTTCTTTCTTTATGTTCGGGGACGTAGTTAGTTAATAGTAGTTGGTCTAGAGGTTGAGGACGTTGAGGTTGAAAGGATCACTATTGGTGATATGACGGTTAATAATGTCGATGGGCTTAAATTAAGTTGCGGAATGTAATGAGTGATTATATGCTAAGCTAAAATTAATGGTATATCTCATTTTTTGATTTTTGAGGTGTTTTGGAATATTCTTGATTATTGAGCAATCTAATAAGTTCTGTCAGTGTGGAATGTAATCTTTCGATAACCCCGTTTGATTGTGGATGGTTGGGCGAACAAAAATGAATTTTGATTTTGTGAAGATGTAATAGTTCTGTTATTATTGTGTTTTTAAATTCGGTTCCATTGTCTGTGACAATTTTTGTTGGAATACCGTGATGGGAGAAGAACGTTATTAGATTGTCAGCGATTTTGGCGGCTGTTGCAAATCTTAGTTGATATGCCTGTGCATATTTGGAAAAAATGTCGATAATTGTTAAACATTTCTCTTTGTCTACTGTATAAGTATCCAGATGAATGATTTCGAAAGGTTTGGTCGCGGTTGGGGTGATATTTATTTAAATTTTTATCGGGTGTCTCTCATATTTTTTTCTTTGGCAAATTTCGCATTCATTATTAAATTTTTGAATTGCATCTGTGATATTTGGCCAATAATATTTTTCTTTGATACGTTTCTCTGTTTCTTCGATTCCGCGGTGGTTGCTTTTGCTTTCGTGATAGTTTCTGATGATATTCGGTATTTCGTTTTTTTCTATATCGTCGATTAATTTTATTGTTCATCTTTTGAATCTCAAGAAAGGCCATTTGAAATTGCTTCGAATTACTTCGCAGAAAGCCCCGTATATAGGCTTTTTACGTTATATTTAGGATTACGTCACATTTAGTAAATTTCTGCTGCCAACCGAACAAAACTAAAAGTACTTTTCAACGCATTTGAAGTAGGGCAATTTCAGATGTTTATGGTTGGCAACGGCGCGCGACGTTGCATGATTTATATAAACATTTTCAAATAATGCGTGTCGATTCATTTCGTTATTTTTAGCTGTCAGTCGTCTTGATAATTGATTATTAACTATTTTGTATAATCCTAATTAAATGCCAAAAATACGTTACAGTTAAAAAAAAGTTCTTTCAAGAATTCAGTACTTTTTCGTAGCGTAAACTTACTCAGAAAATGCCCGCAGGTTTGTTGGAGTCGGCCTCAGGAATGGGTAGTATACTTAATAACGTATTTCCAGCAGGAACGCGACCATTTTTGCTTCTTACTGCTGTGAGGCATGTGTAAATTACCTATTTTCCGTTTCGTTTGACAGAAAAGACCTATCTATTTTTACCTGGTATGCGCGCGCAACATGAGGCAAGTCATTTTATTAGCTAGTACAGGTGTGAAGTGTTCGTTTTGCACGCTGCTCCTTGTCCTTGTTCATTGTTCGTAGTCTGATAAAAAAAAAGTACGGTTGATATTCAACTTGACGTTACTTGACAAGTGACACTCAAAAGTAGTTTGAAATGTTCATTGATAAATACGTTGCACAACACGCGGTTTTTCTTCTTCTCTTTTTATCCCGTGCAAATAAGGAGGACGGATTGCCATACATAAGTTTAACAAAATTTGGTACATTTTGCCTCGTCTTGCGCAATGAGCGTTCTGTGTTTTTTTTTTATCTAATGAAGTTTTCGTATTATTACCTCTTTGTTTGGTAAAATAGATAGGTCTACTGTCACGTGACATTCTGATAAATTATAAGAAAAAAAATAGGCATTGACAACATTGTCTCTTTTTGTTATATGACGCCATCCTAAATATAAGGTAAAAAACCTATATACGTCTGGGTTTTCAAAATATAGGAAATATAGTTTGCTCGAGACAATATTATCTTTAACAAATTGTAATACCTATGTCATTTTCGAAATCACTTTCGGGCAAGTGAACTACGTACCCTCGTTTTTTCTCAAATAATAGTAGCATCTTACTTTTGCTGGTGAATGTAAGACTTTCGAAATTAAAACTTGATTGGCTACGTAGCTTATTCTAAAATGGCTATCCCGACTACAGGTTCTTGATCGTTATTGGTGTGAACTGACTCATTACTGTCTTAGTTGTTTTGAATATCAGGGTGTTCATCGATGGGAATACTTTGGGGATCAAGGTCAGGCTGTGCTACGGTTGACATCTGGTCAATATTTTCATTTTGGGATTCTCGTTCTGGTTCTTTATTGAAATAATTTATGTAAGAGACCAAGTTCGTGATATTGTCGGATTCATTAATGTGTTCAATTCTGCTAAGAGCGTTGGCGTTCGTGTTGAGTTTGCCTTTTTTGTAAATGATATAATCAAATTCCTCTAATTTTATGAGCCATCTTACTAGTTTGGAACTGGGGTCTTTTTGATTAAACCGCCATTGGATAGGTTTATGGTGCGTGATAATTATATTCAATTTACGCCCGAATAAATATGGCCGGAAGTGGCCCATATGAGGCAAAGACACTCTTTCTCAATGATGGAATAATTACGCTCCGAGTCATTAAGTGTGCGCGAGGCGTATGCTACAGGCAGGTCTTGGCCTCTGGGGCGTTGCGAGAGCACAGCGCCTAAAGCTAAATTAGATGCGTCGCATGTCAAATTGAATGTTCTCGAAAAATCAGGATACTGAAGAATAGGTTCGTTGATTAAGAGGTTTTTACATGCTTCAAAGCATTCAACGAATTCAGTATTGTATTCGATTTTTACACCCTTTTTAAAATCTGGTTAGAGGTTTAGTGACCTTGACAAGTTTTTTTATAAACCGTCTGTAGTATCCGAGAAGACCTTAGAAACCCTTTCATTTGCTTTGTAGTAGAAGGTATTGGATATTTTTTTATAGCTTTGATTTTTTCCGGGTTAGGCTTCACGCCGTCTGGTGTCACTATGTGACCTAGGTGTGCGACTTCTCTTCTCAGAAATTCACTCTTGTCTAACTGGATTATAAAATTCGAATAACGTAGTTTTTCGAAAACTGCCCTTAGTCGATCTAGGTGTTCTTGTAATTGTAATGATGTAGAGAACACTATTATATCGTCGAGATATACCAGGCATTATTCGTTTTGGAGTCCGCGAAGAATGTTGTCCACGACCCTTTGAAAGGTGGCAGGGGCATTCTTCAATCCGAATGGCATGCGAGTAAACTCGTAGTGGCCATTCTCTGTATTGAAAGCAGTCTTCTGTATATCGACTTCTTCCATTTCAATTTGGTGGAAGCCGCTAGTTAGGTCCAGTGTGCTAAAATAATGGCATTTCCCAAATGTATATACAGGCGCGTTCATGAAAGGTTCTAATTGAATGTTTAATGTTGCTAGTGAATGTTAGAGTCGTCTTTTCACGATGGAAAATGTCTGAATATTCTTTGCATAAATTCAATATTGCACTTTTTTCTTCATAGTTTAGGTAGTCAGTACGAATTTGAGAAGGGTCGAATTTGGGTTGTGGACAATTAGTGTCGAAATTATTAAGTTCAATATTTTCGAAATTTTTGTAATCAAAATTTTCTACTTTATTGGTTCTGATATATCCAGTGTTATCAATTGGCATGTATTATTTAAAACAGTTGCTAACGCATAACCGTTTTTTGCAATTGTCAGACAACTAGGAATTTCACAGTTATGAATTTTCTGGTAAGGTATTATTCGCCGTTTTATATGTCGGTTGTCAATTTCGCTACTTGAGAACAGCGAGGTGATATTGTAATATTATAGGTTTGTTCCAACCGGCAGTAATTTCCAGTAATATTACTGGCACACATGCGCAATTGTGAAATGCTGTTCCAACCAGTTAAAATTACTAATTTAGAATTGGCGATAATTGACAGTTCGTCGTTCCAACTGGAGTTACGGATAGTAAAATTACGGTTCAAACGATTCTTGCTTGAAAGGAAGAACTGTTGGTTCCAAAATTAGACGCATGCGTAGTGAGGCCGAAAACGGGTCAGTGGTTGAACAACAACGAACATAAATGATAATACATAACCCAGAACCTTAGTTTTTTGTTTATTTAAATTATTTATTTGAAAATGACTGCTATAGAAGTTAAGTAATTTTATTTTATTTGTTCTCAGAGTTAATAAATCTGTTTTTTGTCTTGTATTAGGTTTAGAAGAATTCCTTATTGTGGTGGAAGATGATTCAGCTGCAAATATGCAAGTTATGTTGATTTTGTTATTTTCATCTTGTGTTGTGAGTACTACTAGTTCAAAAAACGTTCCAACAAGTTTTTAAGTTATTTAGTATAATATTACTGTTTTTGATTGCGCAGTCGCATTAGCGCGGTTACGGACGATAATATTACAGTAATATTATTGCAGGTTGGAACAAACCTTATGTATTTCCGGTCGTGTTTTATGGAAAAGTAACTTGATTCGTGTATGAGGCATTTCAAGGAAACCGTTGTTGTAGTCGATCCTAGCTTGCAACAATTTGAGAGTATCAAGTCCTATTAAGCCATCAAATACGTTGTAAAATTTGAATAAATAAAATTTCAATTTTGTAAGTTGAAAATTCGCGATGCTGGGATCGTCGCACTAAATTGATGAGACGATTGTTGAAACACTGTTGATACTATAAACGGATCATATGATATATGATTGGGAAAATATTTTTGGGCCAGGTCGGGGTCAATGAATGATTTCGTGGACCCACTATCGATTAAAAATTTCAAGTTATTTTCTGGGAATGTTATATACGATAACTCGCTGGTGTTTGTATTATTATAGGATATTAATTGTGACTCTAAATTCCTTGGTTCTATAGGCAAGTATTGGGAAAATTCTGATCATTTTGAGGTGATTGGACCTCGTCATTTTGACCTATAAAATTTTCTGATTCATGGTTTGACGATTGAGCGTCATCAGTCTGTGGGTAATAGTTATTATATTGAGGTGGGTCATAATTTTCAGTGTATGTTTCATCAATATTGGCTTATCCACAATGTCTGTGTTGTGGAGTTCTTCGAATGTAAAATTTGGTGATTGATTAGAACGCGATTGTAAATAATTATAGTGTGGTTGGTTGGAATTAGGATATTGATATTGTTTGAGCAAGGTATTGTACAAAGTGGTGCTCATTGGCCTTGGTTTTGGCAGCGGTTTGTTTGGATCTGATTTAAAGGTATTTACTTGGGGCTTTTCCCCAAAAACCTGCGAATTGGTTGGGAATTTTTGCTGAGTTTTGTTATAGTTCGGTCTCACGAAGATTAGTTGTGACGAGAATGCGTTCTTATTTTGAAAGTGTATGTATTGAGCAGGTGCATTGAAATTTTGCGTTTTTTGGTTTATTTTGAAAATATTGAGTGTTACTTTCTTACGTATCAAACTGTAAGGCTTCAGGCAAATCTTTCGGCCTCATGCAACGAATCGTTGTGCCTAATGGCTCTTTGAGTCCGGATAAAAATGTTTTCAAAGCAAGATTATTATAAAGGGTTCTTTTAAGAATGTTTGCATTATCATCTACTTCGTGTAAATCTACGTAAGAATATAACAAATTCAAAATGTGTAAAATTCGGTCGTAGTACTCATTAAGGTTTTCGTTATTATTTTGCCTAAGCATCTCTGTCTCTGTTAAGACAAGCCTCGTCTCTTTGGTCGGCAAAATGCCTACCCAGGATGAGTTTTAATCCATTCCCACTATTAACATTTTGGGTACCAAGAACAAGTTTAGCGTTAGCCGTCAATTTTCCTATAATACAATTCAACAAATAAACATTTTGAAAGTGGTTTGGCTCATTGACATTGTAAAAGGTGTCAATAAGACTCTGACAAACTGCCAAATATCTGTTTAGGTCATTTGGATTGCCGTCAAAGGTCAGCACACAATTTAAATATTCGGGTTTGAATGAAGTAGCCATTATTGATATATTACTGTTTACAGAGTTTTGTTGATTATTGTCAATTATCGATTCTACTCTGCCTTCAGCACTATTTTCTGTATTATTTAAAGCTTGATTGATTATTCTAATTACTTCTTCAGATTGAGAAGCAGAGTCAGTTGAAGGTGATAAATTATCAATAGTAATATAACTCGTGCAATGGAAATTATTGATAATTTTTGGGAAATTTGCCCGAATGCATTTTTAGTTGAAAAAGAGCATGAGTGCACGTAGTTTTGTCGAAAATTATAAATATATTTCCATTGCACGAGATGTATTTAATGAGAGAATTTCATAATTCAAAAATTTAAATTTTTTGTCAAAAAATGTCAAAACACCAGTTTTCGCATAGAGTTTTGGTTAGCGATGCCGGTCCTTTCAAAGACTGCTTGATCTTGCGAGAAATGACGAGGATGTTCAAATCACCACTTATTGTAACATGAGGTCAAAGTTTTTTGGCAAGCGAGTTTTCTCACACAAACGTCTTTGTCCTCGCGAAAATTGGCGATTTAGTCCAATTTTCCACACTGGTGTCTTAGTAATGTTCTGGTTACCGAATTTAGATTATTAGCCACTATCCACACTCCACACAGCAAACAAACTTAGAGCTAGTCCTAATTTTTCGCGTAAACGGCCCAAATTCTTGTCGAAACCGAACCGAACAGTAGCGAAAAATATCTGCACGACTGCGCCAGTTAACAAGTCGATAGCCGAGAATTACTTTTTAAAAACTTTATTTCAACTTGCTAACAATATTTGGATATTTGGAAATAAGAATACAATTATAAATTGAATACTTTCAACTGACTGACTGTAAATCTAAGCTGAAAAGCTTTTATGGTAATATAAAGTTAAAGCCAGCAAAAAAAGTGATTACTCGGTATCTTCTGACCATTCAACTCGCGGTGAATTTCCATTCGCAGATTTTCTAGTCATCCGGTAGTGTTGCAAGATTGTGCACTATTTCCCCAACTTGAGAGATTTAGGTACCTATGACAATTTTTCTACGATTTGTGAGATTAAACTGAGCAGAGAGATTGATCTGTAATTGTTCAAGTAAGTCATCCCTTTTTTTTTGAAGATTGGTATTATTACAGCAGTCGTTAGTTCTTCTGGGTAGATAAATATTAGAAAAAAAAAATACATCCACAATTTTGTTCCTAACAATACTTATTAAATATACAGTGGATATAAACATTTTTTTTTATATGTTGTTTCCATTTTACAGAGAATCCCCATTATTTCGGGCAAATCTGCTCTTCCCAAAAAAGTAGCATTATATCTTTGTTTAAGCATGTTTGACTGAAATCACATTTTGGATCTTTTCCAGGCGGTATCGACAATAGTCCAGCCCTGATAGTGCCTGGCCAGGTGGCTTCGCCTCAGCCTCAACACAACTTGAACAATAACAACGGTTATCAGCACAGCGATTCTACCGACAGTCCTGTCACGTCGCCGACTACAATGCCCAGTAGCCCTGCTGATCACCTGATCAACGGAGGCAATGTTGCCAGTCCGCCGATGCATCCATCATCGAATGGTAAGGGAATTTACTTTTGATTCTTACCAAGGAAATTTTCTTAACTTTAATAAGTAAGTTTTATTTTTTATTTTTGTCCTAGTTTAAACTAGCTTGCCCAACCTACATTTGCAAATTACTATTGAACTAATCGACTTTTTGGAGGTATCCAACTATTCAAAACATCATCGTTCATCGATATTCTAACTAGTCTTGGGTTGGTTTCATACCTTTCTGTTCTTTTCCAGGAGCTTCCAGTGTCTTGATCATGAGAGAAATAGGAGCAATGGACGAATCATACAGCCTAAGCTTCAAGCCTGAACCAATTAAAGAAGAACAGCATGGCTTTTAATTTAAAAATAAGTAAATGACAGCTACCGTATAACTGATTTATAATTAAGATTTAAATTTGAAAAAAATTTAGGACTTTTATGTAGAAACATTTTTGTAAGACCATATTGGTCAATTATAATTATACAATTTTTTTTTTGTACATATTTGTATAGAAAAGAGCCCCCATATTTTCTAAAAAATAATTATTTAGATAATAAGATTGACAGTGTGAGAAGGGCTGTGATTTACGACTAAAGCTAGAAAAGATGCACTTTTCTAGTTGCGGTGTTATATTGAAAACAGTTGCTCAAAATTTATTATTATTGAAGCCAAATTTGTTAGATATTTGTAAATAGGTTTTGTTATTTCCTTTATTGGAAAATATTGAATTTTTATTAATAATAATTAGTTGAGGGCATTTTGGTCCTATGATAATATTTTATATGCAAGTTCAGTTGGGTGACAGAATTTTTATTAATTTTTATTTTATATGGATTATTTAGAAAGGTGATTGTAGTAAGATTTATATGATTATTAGGTTTACTAAATTATATTATAGTTATATTTTTTCAGCTTACGTTTTATGAAAAATTTTATAATAAAATATAAACTGAAAAAAACATATTATTTGATATTATTATTGTTTTGTTTTATATGCATGCCATTTGGAACAACAATTAGGGCCTTTTTCATACAATACATATTATGAAGGGCCAGAGATTTAGTTAAGAATTTATTATATAGGTTAAGGTTACATGAGATTAGCACTATTGGCGACCAAAAGCTAAGTTTAAGATTTTTTGCTTCTTGCCAGTTTATAATGTTCCAACCAAAAATCGAAAGTCAATATTCCTTGAGAAATACTTCGCGATTATTTTTTAAGGAATCTGATATTGGCAGAGTTTAGACTCTAATTAAAGAAAATTATACATTTTAGTGACAATGACCTGATTTTTTTTTATATAAGTAGGAATGCCAAGGTATAATTACTACAAACTTACATAATATATTTATATACCCATGTTATGCTATTATTCTGTTTATGTAGTTATATTGTTTAATATTAAACTTATTAAGTACCTATATCAAAGGCTGGAGGTGGCAATACATTTTGTTAATAATATGTTCTGTTAATAAATATAATCTTTATTAAAAGTTCTAGTTTTATTTATTTTCCAATGTTTATTCCTAGAACTATCTACAATAAATGCTTTAAATGTGGCCTAAATTGAACTTGCTTATTCCACTTATTATCCGGGACAATAAGAAAACATAAAAACATTTATTGCTGTAATTGCTGATTTTGAAGAGGTTTAAATTGTATCAACAGATTAAGTTTATACCTACTACAGCTGTCTCATTTTCAACTGGACTCTGTTGCATTAGTCGCGCTCGTTTCTATAGTCCAATGTGTCTTGTTGAATACTGATATCTCTCTTATCTTGAGCTAGCTTCTCTATTTTTTCTAGGGAAGCAATTATGTGCTCTATTCCTGAAAGCCCATGTGAATAGTCTATACCGGGTGTCCCACCGAAAACTGTCAATGGCCTATATCTTGAAAATCATAATCGATAAACAAATTATTGAAAACCCGTTTGGAGGGTTGGAAGGGGGAACCAAAACAAGTTACTTTTCAGCTCTCTTCGAACCACACCCCTTTGACCGTAGCCACACTAACCTTAAAATCTTAAATGGCACTATGGGTCATGTGATACCTTGTTTGAAAGGTTTTTTAATTCTCTAAATGAATCTGCAAAAAAAAAATTACCAAAAAACCTTTCAAACAAGGTATCACATGACCCATAGTGCCATTTGAGATTTTGAGGTTAGGGTGGCTACCGCTGAAGGGGTGGTTCGGGGAGAGCTGAAAAGTACCTTGTTTTGTAATAAAAGAATTACTTGTCAAATATAAAAAAGGTAAAAGCTGGTAAAGATTGTCCCAAAGTATATATAGGACAAACAGGTAGAAATTTGGGTACTACACCATTTCCAAATCCAAGCGGCAGTAAATGGACATTAAATGACCTAAATTGTAAACAAACACCAGCCTTCCCATTGGTTGAAACGCCCTACCTGGAACAGTGCGCATGCACGGAAGACATTTGATAGGTGGTAATGAAAATGACCAGTTTGTCATTTACTGCCGCTTGGATTTGGTTCAACCATAGAATTAAAGAAGATAACAATAGTTTCAATTAGGGTTGCCACCTGCCCGGTTTTCACCCGGACTGTCCGGTTTTTCAAAGGTTTGTCCGGTGTCCGGACGCATGATGAAAATGTCCGGGAATATCTGGATAACTATATAATTAATAATAATTAATGACACTTACAAGCGTCTGTGGTGGAGGGGTGGCGTTTGAAATTGAGTAGATGCCTTTTTTAATTTTTTTCTAAAAATTCATTTTACAGATATGAGTGTTAATTATTATGCTACAAAAAAAAGTTAGCTTCTAGTTTCAATACAAAGAAAACAGACTCAAATTACGCAAATCACCTAATAGAATCAAATCATAATTTTAATAATGAATTTCAAATATTACATAATGAAAACAAAGGGATAAAATTAAATCTTCTCAAATCTCTAAAAATAAACAAACTTAAAAATTTAGACTGTTTACGGAACGACCAATTAGATTTAAACAATTCACCACTTTTAAATTTATTTATTGTATAATACCTATTTAGCAGGCGCGGCTCGTGAGTTTTTTTACAGGTGGGTCAAATTGATAGGGACAGCGCCGCAGGCTAAAATAGCGCCTTAGGCGAAAAATTTTTGGTATTAAACTAAATTTTTTGGCTTTAGTTTTTGTCTTTTTGTAGGAATTTAAATTTGAATATGTGATGATCCAGGAATTTGACCCGATAATTACAAAGTCTTTACTGTAAAAATTAAATTTTATCAAATAATCAAAATTTAATTCCGGTATTTTTAAATCTGTATCGATAAATTAAAAATAAAACAAACTAACGCTAACGTATTGCAACACCGGCCAAGTCATCATCTAAATTAAATTCTTAAAAATGATGAAAACGAGGACAGTGACATCACTAAAACCCGATCAATGAACTTTTTTTTTAGCAAGGCCAGCATGTTAATTAATTTGATGATATATGGCATTCTTGAACCAATAATGTTTTGACCTTAATAAATCAAAACATTGCGACATAATTAATCGTTTTCAGGCTAAAAATGATGTAAAATTCCAAGGAAATTGCAACATTATTTTTAATAATAATTATGTTGGCCAATGGAAGTGTCGGATTGCTAGGCAAATGACCGCCTGTTGACGATTTGAGGGAAGATATAAAAACCGTGGGTTCAGTTGCCATTGAACAGTTGCCAGTTAAGAGTTGTCCAGTCCAGTTTGAGATAAAAGGCCTATTCGGGTTTGGAAAAAGGACGGTTCTAGAACGGTTCAAAACAATCGTACAGTTTATTGATCAACAAAATAACAACGACTCGGCCATCAAAAATTTCAATAATAAACTGTACGATTCTTTTGGACCGTTCTAGAACCGTACTTTTTCCAAACCCGAATAGGCCCACTGTCTGCCCAGTTTCGCGAAAAGTTAGTTTTATGGCGTATGGCCCCGGGTATAATTTAACTTAGAAGATTTACGGAAAATCGTGAAAGTAATAGAGAGTTTTCGTTGTATTGCCAATTTCGAACGGTTAACCATAACGAATACGAAGACAAAGTCGCTATTTGACAGATCGTCAAAATAGTTTTCGTTCAATCCGCTTAACGTTAACGTTAAGTCGAATTCGACAAACATAATCTTTCTTTAATTGTTTGTATTTATATACGTTTTATACTTTGTTTTAATTTCCTAGTACCCAAAATTCATTAATTTTCCCTGTGTGCTTTACAAAATTGGCTACTACAAAAGCATAATTATAGATGTTGTTGGAAACATGTTCCAACAATCATGCTATCTCTTTTTGATGGCAAATTGTTGTAAATATAGTGTCAGTGAAAAGCGCGTGTGTTTTAGTTCCCTATCCAGTCGATCATCCAGTCCACCTAATTATACAGTCCACTAATTATCAAGTTATTTATCTTCCATTATGTGGTTTTGCACAGATGTATCGTCACAGCTTACTACAACAACCAGCTCGGTGACTCTACTGGCGGGAACGGTTTGCGCCGATCTTTCCGCGCATTGCTCTAGCTCCGCCTTACAGGGTAGAACACGGCAGCACACAGCTGTTCAGTGGCTCGCTTGCCGACAATTATTCCTAATAATCTTGCCGCGCCATAGACGTAGTTACGATTATATTTGCGAATTTGTTTTTCGGTGATTAGTTTTATCAAGATTTTGTGTTTTTTGTGTTTGATAAATATGAGTGAAAGAAAAGCAGGACAAGATTGTGTTTGATTTTATTTGTAATATAGAATTAATATTTCAAGAAAATTTTGAACATTGTATAACATGGGTGTCCCAGGTGGATGGCGTATTAGACGTTTATGGAGAACTAAAAAAAAGCATTTTGAAAATTTGGCAACCGGGATAAACCACCATAACCTACATTTTAAAAATATTTTCGTTTATGCGGTGTTGCCGCTCATACTCGAAACCAGTGGCAACATCGCTATTTAAAATGGAACACCCTATATGTGATTGCATATTTAGATTCTACGAAGAATTATGTCTTGTCTTATGAGCAGATTTCATGTGATATACCCTAACTAAGTTCAAATGTTTTGGAAATATTAGCAGTTGAAAATTGACTTTTTGCAACTTTGACACGCTGTAAAGCCTGAAAGCTTAATTTTAGAGGAAAACCGATTTTTCGTTCCTGTCTAAGATTTTTATAAGCTATCATTTGACACCAACTGTGAATTTAATCCATGATTAAAAATTCCAATTAAATTTAATCTCCGGTTAAATTCAAAGTTGGTGTCAAATAATAGTTTATGAAAATCTAAGATATGAATGTAAAATCGGTTTTCCTCTAAAATTAACCACTTAGGTTTTACAGCCTGTCAAACTTGCAAAAAGTCAATTTTCAACTGT